AAATATTGTGCAAATGTTTGTGAGTCACTCTGAGTGTGGTGGGTCTAGCTATGGGGGCTGCTTTCCTTTGGAAGACAGCACAACAGGGCCACATTCCAGCTTTGGACTGGTGCCTCAACTGCAGAGGATACGGTAGGCAGAACTCACCATCCTCTAGGCTCCTTCTCCTTTATAAATGTCAACCTAGACTTCAGGGGCTAGAAAGCAAAATACTAACATTTCCCTAAATCCCTTGCAGTAGAGTTCTGGATGTGAATTAGTTTGTACCAATTGAGATTGGAAGATGGAAGAAAGTCAAGTCACGACCATTTTCCTACAGCTTTTGGCTGTTTTCTATTGTCAAAACTTTGGACTGAACTTGACTCTTCTCTAACACCCACAACTAATCTATCAGCAGATCAAGCTGGCTCAACCTTCAAAATAAGTATCTAGAGCTGGGCCCTGTGGCTCATACCTGTGATTCCAGTGATTTGGGAGGCTGAGTCAGGAGACTGCAAGTTAGAGGTCAGACTGGGTGACTTAATGAGACCCTGTCTAAAAAAAAAAAAAAAAAAAAAAAATTTTTTTGAAATGCTGGGAATATAGCCCAGTGATAGAGTGTTTGCCTAGTATGTGTGAGGCAACCCCAGTTTAAAAAAAAAAAAATCTAGAATCTAATCACTTCCTACACATCCACTACTACCCTCTACTACCATCTACTACCTTTATCCAAGCCACTACCATCTGTTGTTTGGCTGATTATATTGGCCTGGGATCTGCAGCCTGCTCTGCCCTTGCTTGAACACATCACTCTCTGGAAACTTAAGACAAAGGAGTTTGCCACGACTCCCTATTTAAAAATGAAGACAAAGTCCTTACAGTGGAATAAAGGCACCCCTCCCCTGCTGCTCCCCTCTCACTCCTTCAGCTCCAAACCAGTCTCCATCAAGCTTTCCCTCTGCCCAGAACATTCTCCCGGCTCCCTCCTGATCCTTCTGCATCCTCTCTGGGATCAGACCTTCTCAGTGAGGCCTGCTCTAATTATTGTCATATGCCTGCCACTCCCCTGCCCTCTCCCTACACACACACACTCTTTTTAAGAGACAGGTCTTGCTACGTTGCCCACACTAGCACTAAACTTTTGTACCATAACTAGGAAATAAGTCTTCTTACCTTTAACAGCCTAGGGTTGAGGGCTCAATTCAGCTGGACCATGTGGTGGGTCTGATTAAAGTATGCTATCTTTCATCCTTCCAGCTAACTCACATATATCTGAAACACGATGCTCAGTGACATGAAAGAACTGCATATTTTTGACTGAGTTGGAGCACATGATAAAATAGCATATAATTTACATTGTATATAATACACAAAATTTGGAATCTGAAAGAATATGGACTAAAAAGTTAAAACTGGTTTATTTAGCAGAATAAAAAGTGACTGAATATTAAAAATTCTACCTAGATATAATCTTTTGATTTTACTACACTATTTTTTTAAATATTTATTTTTATTATTTTATTTGTGGTACTGGGAATGATAAAGCCCAGGGGTGTTTTACCATTGAACTAGATTCCCAGCCTTTTTTATTTTGAGACAGGGTCTAAGATGCTGAGGCTAGTCTTAAACTTGTGATCCTTCTGCCTCAGCTTCCCAGGTAGCTGGGGTTACAAGTGTATGCCACAATGCTGTGCTACAATTTTTTTTTTTTTTTTAATATTGAGTCTTGCTAAGTTGCTGAGGTTCGAACTTGTGATCCTCCTGGCTCAGCCTCCCAATCTATCTACAATACTTTTTAAAACATGGTGGCAACTATTATAGATTAGCTACCTAACTGACAGTTTGTTTTTCCCTTCTAACAAAATCCCATCTCACAGGCCACAGTATAGAAGGAAATAAACTGGTCTACTCTTTTTCCTTTGCCAGTGCCTGGTCCCAGGGCAGATATATAGCTCAGCCCTATGAAGACTTGGGCAAATCTATGGGGCTTCTAAAACTACCCTCTATGAGCAGAGCGATGGCAAAGATCCCTGACTGCTGCCCATTGCTTACTGCTTTGCTTTTTGGTTTGGATGTGGTTTCCTCCAAGAGTTCAAGTGGTAGAAGAATGGTCCCTGGTGACAGCAACCAAAAAAATGGACCTACACAGTTTTGGACACTGTCATTTTAAGAAATAATGTTGAGAGTTGAAGTAACCATTCTGTAACACTGAGGACGGCAGAGCAAATGGTTCCAGGAAAATCCTGATGACGTTTTGGCTGCCACTGAACTCTGGAACCACCTATCTCCAGAACTTGTTTGCTACATGATGAACATCCTTGTGGCTGAAGTCTCTGTCAATCTAGTTTCCTGTTGCTTGTGCTGGTGACACATCCTGTTAAGGCATTTATCTGTCTGGCACCAATATAGTTCATATACTTCATCTTCACGCTACCATAAAAACAACATTATAAAAAGAACCATTATCTCATTCTTTTGGAAAACTAAAAACAAAAACAACTAGGTTTAGGGAAGAATAAGTGACTTTTTCTCCTCAGGGTTACTGATAAGAATTGGATCCCTATCTAAGCCTAAACTCTAAAGCCCAAACTGTCACTTGCTCATGTAGTTAAAGAAATGAGCAAACCTAAGGTTCCCCTGCTGTTTCTAACAAAATATATACGCAGATGCAGGTAGTAATAAATTTGCATCCATTTGCACCCATATATGAATTTGACTTTGGGCTTTTCTCCCATTATTTGCACATATTTGGTGGTAGAAATGTGTGCTTCTGAGACAGCCAAGAAAGCAGACTTGCCTTGTCTTTTTCTACACAGCTTTCTTTTTTTTTTCCTCCCCCAGTATTAGGGATTAAACTCAGTAGTGCTCCAACAGTGAGCTGTATCCCCAACCCTTTATTTTTGGGACAGGGAGTCGTCAGGTTGTCCCGGCTGACTTGCGATCCTCCTGCCTCAGCCTCCAGAGTTGCTGGGATCACAGTCTGCGCCACTGCTCCCAGCTTCTCCACACTTTTATTGATGAGATCTAATGTGTGCAATAGGGATCTAGATACAGGCTGTAAGGACTTTTGAAGAGTCCCAAGCTTCAATCCCCAAGAGATGGCAAAATGAACATGGAGGCGGCACGTGCTCTTCCTCAAGCTTTCTTGAAGAACCAAAGACTGCAAATTACCAAACATCTAATGACACAGGACCCTTGGATTAGTGTCCCTCACCCCCAACCCCCCCCCCCCCCACCCCCCCCCCCCAAAAAAAAAGCAGAAGAGTATTTTTGAACTAAATAAATAGAGAGGGCTGGGGATGTGGCTCAAGTGGTATCGCACTCGCCGGGCATGTGCGAGGCGCTGGGTTCAATCCTCAGCACCACATACAAATAAAATAAAGATGTTATGTCCACCAAAAACTAAAAAATAAATATTAAAAAAATTCTCTCTCTCTCTCTCTTTAAAAAAAAAGAAAGAAAAGAAACAACAGAGAAAGGGGATTATAACAGAGACCCAAAGGCAGTGCCTCAGTTATTGAAAAACTCAAAAAGGGTCTGGGGATATAGCTCAGTTGGTAGAGTGCTTGCCTCCCATGGATGGGTTCAATCCCCAGCACCACACACACACACACACACACACACACACACACACACAAAGAACAAAGGGCTGGAGCCCAGAGCTAATCAAAGCTCAGTGCAGTATGGAGCAAGACTTCTATGGCACATACTTCAAGGAACTCTTTCTACTCCAGTTCTCTATAATGAGCAAAGAGCAGAACACTACTGACAGAACTAACACAAGCTACCAGCTCCAGAAAGGGCAATGTGGTCACTAAATATTCAATCCCCTCACAGCTCCTGGCTGGACAGCTTGAGAGGCTTTGTAGGAAAAGCCCAGCTATGCTGGATAAATAACAGCAGAAGCAGAAAGAAGAAAAATGAGATTAAAGGAGGAAGCATCCAAAAGCTACAGGGCAACCTGGCAGTGCAGAGATAGTTCTCACCAGGACTGGGGTCCATTCCTCTTGCAGGGGCAACATACTGAGAAGAGCAGGCTGTGTTGTCAGCCTGCAGTCACCTGGCACTGCTGTGCCACTTTGTTCTAACCTGCAAACATCTCAGTCCTATCCAGGGTGGAAGGAGAATCTACACAGACCAGAAATGACCTGGAGAAGGAACAAGATCATAGATCCACAAGCTCAACAAGAGCATGACAGCTGAGACTGGGATCCATGCTGAACAGGAAATCTTTTGCTGGCAGGGAGGCAAAGGGGAACTCAAAACACAGATTTTGAAGTGAAAGGTCACCTGTCAAGTCTCAATCTCTAACCTTGGTCTTACCAAGGGTTTATTTTTTAACACTATTTGACGTGGTGTGGTGATGATTCACTGTGAGTGGCCATGATTTTGGTGGGTTTTTTTTTTTTTTTTTTTTTGGTACTGGGGAACTTTACCACTGAGCTACATGTCTAACTCTTTTAACTTACTTTTGAGACAGTGTCTTGCTAAGTTGCATAGGCTGACCTCAAACTTGTGATCTTCCTGCTTCAGCCTTCAGAGTAGCTAGGATCATAGGTATGCACCACCACAACTAGCTTCCAGGTTTCCTTTGAGAAAATGTTTTAATGAAAGCTGGAGGAGTACTGACTACTGACTGTAGGGGTGCAGAGAGTGAGTTTGGGCCCCATTTTAACAAAAGACCTTTGCGGAGTGCCAAAAGGGGTCTCTGATTTTTTTCAACAGTTTACAGCGAGTAACTCACACAGAAAGCATTTATGAGACACAGAACAGACTTGAACATTTGGAGCATCAGAACCAGGGTGGGGTGGGATGAAATGCAGAGGAAAAATCAAGGAGAGCTGGGGATGTGGCTCACTGACAGAGTGCTTGTCTAGCATGCACAAGGCCCACAAAAATGAAAGGAAGGAAGGAAGGACGGACAGATGGATGGATGGACAAAAGTGGAGACATGAACAGCTCTAGTAACTTCTTTTGAGACTCCTGGGATGTACATTTTGTTTGAAAATACTCAGGCAAAGGAAAGGGAAGCTAAGATTTATTGAGTGCCTACAGGTATACACATCTGCCTTGTGCAAGGAGTTTTCATCCACAATATTCCATATGATCCTCACACCAACCCTGTGAGGTAGGTATTATCCCCATTTTTTTCAGATGAGGAATATGAGGCTCAGAAAGGTTAGGTAGTTTGTCCAAGGACACAGAACTTGGAACCAACAAGCTGGGACTAAGCACTAAAGTCTCAGACTCCATCCCTGCTCTCTCCTACCTGTCTCCTATGAGGAAGGAGGGAGCAGAAGCCCAATCTGCAGCCATTCCACTTCTTGTCCCTGTAGCTCCACAGGCCCCCAAGAGGAGCCTCCATTTTCCCATGGACCACTCCACCTCAAGAGGATGCAGTTGGTTGAGTAGATTAAGACATAAATATAAAAATAAATAGCGGGACTAGTCTCCAGTAGCAAGAGGTGCCATCCGATTTCACGCTGTGGGAAGGTCACTGTGCCATTCACAGCTGCTGGGGGAAGGAGCTGTGCAGGCCCTGGTGGAGAGAAAACTAGGATGGCTGCCAAAGGCTGGAGTGGGTGGGCTAAACGGGCCCGTTCTGGGTCGCCCAGATTGGAGAACAAAACGTCTGGAGCAGGCAGCAGCCGTGGGCACAGTCACTATCCTCCTCCATCTGCTCATTTTACCGGTGTTTATGATCCAAGAGGGATTCAAAATCGGGGGAACATACAAGTTTGTGCTTCACATGTCCCAGGACTGTCATGTCTCCTGTCCTGCTGTCTCCGAGGCCAACAGACACCAGTTCCTGCAACCGACAGAGACAGTGATTCAGAATCATCCCATGCCCCAGCCCTCAGTCTGTGAATCTCATGAGATATGCTCAAGAAACCCCCTCCCTCTCTCAGCACTACCCAGCCCATCCAGAGCCTCTCCATGGCCCTATGGGTCTCGCACCTGCAAGAAAGAGCAGGTGGTTCCCATTGTCACGTCTAGAGTCACCTTGCCCAGGAGGAGCTGCACCTTCCCTGACTTGCGGATGAGTAGCTTGCCAACCTGGCCCTCTGTCAGGTCAGCCAAGGTACAAGTGTTCTCTGCCAGCCTGGCTTCCTATGGAGAGAGGCAAGTGATGGAAACTAGGCAAGGAGTTCGTTACTTTACCTTTTGTGAATGAACCCCCATTTCATCCCCCACAGAGGCCTGGGCAGCAGGGGTCAGAATAAGCTTCCCAAAGAGGCCCCTTCTTCTGCGGCTATCTGCCACAGGTTATAAAACAAAATCTACCACAAACAAATGGACAAAATACTGATAACTGTTGAAGCTGAACAATGGTACATAGGAGTTTACATTCTTTTGTTTGTCTGTTTTTAAATTATTCATTACAAAAAGTGAGCACACAAATGTACCTGGGTTGAAAGCCCAGGCCCTAAACCCCTTGCAGATGCTGAAGACAAATGCCTACCATTCTTTTTCAACTCGGACGGCACGCCTGCGCTTCCCTCCACAGGTCAGCTTCCATTCCTGGTGCTCCCACCCTGCAATTTCCCCAGAACTCACTCCTGAGCATACCCGGTCTTTTTCCTGTTTTATGACCACCATCTGTCCATCCTCGCCCTGCACCTCCGTCTTGACAGGCTTGATATCCTGAGTGGGCGGCTGGCCAGGGAGTGTGTCTGGCAGCTGGAGGAACAGCAGCTCCTCATCCTTGGTAAGGCTCAGCTCCCTGAGCAGCTCTGCTACAGACACGTCTTTTGAGAGGCCTGGAGTCTTCCTGGCTGCTCTGAGAGGAGGCTTCACCTTAGTCTCCTCCTCCTCATCTTGTGGCTCCTCTTTTACTGCCCAGGGTAAGACAAAGGAAGGGACATCAAGCTGTTTCCCTCTATGCCATCTCACTGTTCCCAGTCCTTCACCCCCATCTGTTCCACTGTCACTCAGCCAGGAAGCTGGAGGGAGACACTGCTTTTGGAGAGGGGAAAGAAACAGCACATTCAAGAGGTGTGTGACTTCTCTAAAAAGTGATACCTGAGGCTCTCATCCACCCTCCTTGTCAATACATAAACCTTCAGAAAGGGACAAACTGTCTTTGTTCAGCTCCTGTATTTCAGAACTGGAATGGGAAAGGAATGGCTCAGGAGCAGAAGTCTTGGAGGCTTATCTGAGGAATTCCTGGAACCTCCAGGGAAAAAGGAAGTTAACTGACAGGATACCTTTCACAGCAGGTACATCCACCTCCATGTCCTCCTCCTTGGGACCAGCCAGACAGGGCTTAACATCTGGCTCTTCATTTTCTTCCTTGAAAAGCCACCCCGAGTGAGCCAGGGGCAGCTGCACAGGCATGTTTCGCATATCGTTTTTCAGCCCAGGGTCATCAATGAACTACCAAAGAAGAGATGGGGTCACATAGCTTGACAGCACTTGTACCTGGATCATAGTCCATTTTAGTCCCCTTCTAACCAAAGGTTCCTGCCGCTCACCAGGATCTCAGGACATTAGTGAGCTCTTTTTCCCTCGGAGCCCCCCACCCCATCTCCAAGTACCTACATCATCCTTCTCCAGCATGCGCAGGATCTGCTTGGTTTCTTCATCCGTCTCCCTTTTCTCTTTCTTGATGTTGATGATATGAGAGGGTCCCATGTCAGACACATCCACCGTCTTATCCCAGCTCCCTGTGGGAAATCACCCTGTTCACTAGGAATAAGGAACTCTGTCACTCTTGCCCTTCTCTCGGGCAGTTGGAACTGAAATCCACGACTTAGCTCTTTGTACCTTTTTTCTTCATCATTTCTGCAGGGCCCTGCTCAAAGATAGAGTGGGACTGGATCACTTCTGGGCGGCCCCGTCCCCGTCCATGCCCCTCACGTTGGCGATCCCTATCCCGTTCACGCTTCTCCTTCTTCACGGCTACTTCTTCCTTAGGCCTGGAAAAAAAGAACAGATAAAGGGAAATCACTTACTCATTCTGCCTCAGAAAACTGGCCCTACTCTCCCATCTCACTTCATCTAACTGAGCAGAAAGTTTATGAGCCAATAAGTACACCATGAAAAACAGAACCCAATCCTAGGTCTGGCACTTTTATCACTTCCTTGATGAGGCAGGGGCCTTGCAGTTTGCTCAACTTTACCTTCCTGTCCAAAAACATGGAAGGCTAGAATGTGAAGAAACACAAAGTGTACTACATCTTTGTTTACTTACTATTTTTTAGTGGTACCAGCGATTAAACCCAGGGGTGCTCTACCACTGAGCTATATCCCCAGCCTTTTCTATTTTTAAAATTTTGAGACATGGTCTTGCTAAGTTGCCAGGGCTGGCCTTAAACTTGTGGTCTTCACATCTTAGCATCCCAAGCTGTTGGAATTACAGGCATGTGCCATCATGCCCAGCAGTTTGAATCTTAAATGTCCTATGAAGTTGGGTTCTCAAGGATTACTCCCCAGTTGGGTGCTTTTGGGAAGTGGTAGAAACTAGGAGTTGGGGCCTAGCAACAGGTCTTCAGGTCACTGGGGGTAAGCTCTTAAAGAGGATACTGGAACCCTGGATCTCCTTTTGTTTTTTGCATCCAGGCCATGAGGTGAGAAGCTCTGTTCTGCCTCACCCTGCCATCATGTGCTGCTTTGCCACAGGTCCAAAAGCAATGGGGCCAACTGATCATGGATGTAAGAATTATGAGCCAAAATAAATCTTTTCCAAGTTGAATTACTTCACTTACTTGTTATAGTAATGGAAAACTGACTAATACACAGTATCTCAGGCCATCAGTAGTTTTTGTTTCCGTTTTTATTTCCTCATGTTTTATTGGTGCATTATAGCAGTACATATTGATGAGATTTATTGTTACATATTCATCCATGCACATAATAATTTGGCCAATATCACTCCGTAGCACTTTGTTCCTTCCTCCTTATCTCCCATCATTTGGTCCCTTTCCTTTACTGATCTCCCTTTGATTTTTAAGAGGAAACCCACCCCACTTTTGTTTTCCTTTTTCCTCTCCAGCTTCTGAATATGAGAGAATATATACAATCCTTAACTTTCTCAGTTTGACTTGTTTTGCTTAACATGATTGATGGTCTCCAGTTCCTTCGATTTTTCACATCAGTATTTTTTAAAAGCTTGCACTTTAAAAAATGACAAAATCATAGAATTTACAGGGAAATGGATGGCATTAGAGCAGATTATGCTAAGTGAAGCTAGCCAATCCCTAAAAAACAAATGCCAAATGTCTTCTTTGATATAAGGAAAGTAACTAAGAACAGAGTAGGGACGAAGAACAGGAGAAGAAGATTAACATTTAACAGGGATGAGAGGTGGGAGGGAAAGGGAGAGAGAAGGGAAATTGCACGGTAATGGAAGGAGACCCTCAGGGTTATACAGTGGAGTGGGTAGAGAGAGAGGAGGGGAGGGGAGGGGAGAGGTGGGGAGGGGGGAGGGGGGATGATGGGAAAGGCAGCGGAGCACAACAGACACTAGTATGGCAATTTGTAAATCAATGGATGTGTAACTGATGTGAATCTGCAATCTGTGTATGGGGTGAAGGTGGGAGTTCATAACCCACTAGAATCAAAGTGTGGAATATGATATGTCAAGAAATTTGTAATGTTTTGAACAACCCACAATAAAAAATTAAAAAAAAAAAAAAAAAAAAAAAGGCAAAAAAAAATAAAAAATAAAAATAATATCTCAGGAAAAAAAAAAAAAAAAAATCACCTGGGAGTCAGAGATGAAAACCACTACAGAAAAGAACCCCAAGACAAGAATTCAAGTTTCTGAGCCCCACACCTAGGTCACTCCCCAAAGCCCCAAATTCAGAGCAAGTATGTAAGGGGCAAGTATTCAGCAGACCTAGCTACTTACTCTTCCTTGATCTTCCGACTGATGATATTTGGGGTGAAGGTTTTCTGAAAGTAAAATACAGGAGTCACTGATTTGGTAAATTCTGACCTCAAAGTACAGAGGAATATAAAAATTCTCAATGGGCATCTTCTATGGGCCAAGACCACCATGGCTCTCTTCTGCACATTCCACACTAGTAAGAGTTTTTAGAGACAGGCATGTGTTTGAAAAGAAGACCATCATGCTGCAGAGGTAGTGGAGTTAGAGAGAAGAGAGGGGTGTCCAAAACCTTAAAATCTCAGCTTCTCTCCTCAGAAAGAAGAGACTCCCAGATTTCCAAAAACCTAAAGAACCTATCTCATCTCACTTCTGTCTAATAACTGCTACAGACCAGTCACTATCACGGGGAAATAGTTTCTAGAGCAAGGCTTCAGTAGAGAGGACAAAAGACCTGCCAGCACTCACAACAGGTTGACACAAACAGACTGTCACCAGAATTTTCCAAGGCAATGTTAAATCTTTAAGAAATTGGCTACTTTATGCTTCTGAAACTTGTTCTCCCCTTTCAGGGCTACTTTTTACATCCACGGTCATATACATAATGTCTGCCATGGGATTTTTAAAGATGTCCAAAACACACTAAAATAAGCGCTACTCAAACTGCTTTTTGAACATCTTGAGCTAACTAGGATCTCTGCTCTTCAATTACATCTCAACATCTTGCACCCTGTACCTAGACCTGAAATAGGTGCCCTAGCATTTGAAAAGGAGTAGGCATAAGTCTGGGGACAAGATTCACGAGGCCGAACATCACTGTTGGGGACAGAGTAGGTCCTATCGACACGAGTTGAATCCCAGGGGCCTGGAATAGTTAGTTGGGTAGTTGAATTTCTTTAGAAATCAGCCATCAGGTACCTTCTTGACTCCCCCGAGGGTGAGGTCCCTGGAGCGGATGGAGGGAAGGCGGCCCGGCGTGAGCGGGGGCGCAGGTCGCCGCCCGACAAGCCCCCGGGCCCCAGAGAGGAGGGGTCGCGGCCCTCCGGGAGCGCTGGACTCGCCCGCAGCGTTTCCTTCCGACATGTTGCCTGGGAGAGAATGGGTAACGAAGTCACTTGAAGGGACCGACACGCGGATCCTGGGCGGAACCCCACCCACGTGGCCTTCCGCCCCTTCCCCGTTAGGGCGTAGCTGCTGCGGCATCTCAGCTCCTCCCCCTCCCACGTGGCGAGGCTCCCCCGACCACCCCGCCTAGAGCCTTTGGCTCACCCCGCCCTCTCCCCAGGCCCCAAGCGGGGACGCACCCGGACTGCTGCTGTACACCACGCGTCACGATTTCACCTACGACGCGACCCGCCACCAAACTGCGATCTCCGCACAGGGCGGAAGTCTGCGTGGCAGAGCCCGGGCGCCGCCATCTTGGCGCGAGGCGGAAGTGACGTTGAAGGGCGGGGCCGGGCCATAGTATTTATTAGGCGGCGCCTCGCTGCCCCTCCGCTTTCTCTTCCCGGTTCTTCCCGGAGTCGGGAAAAGCTGGGTTGAGAGGGCGAAAAAGGATGAGGGGTCAGGTCTGGGCTATCCTACGGTACGGCCCTCGGGGGGCTTGGTCCGGGGCGGTGGCAGAGTGGCTGAGCTCTGGGTTGGGGTCCTTGGTGGTGGCTACACTGCAAAGTGGGGAGTCGCCGTGGCGGAGTCTCTGGGAGCTTTGGGTCGCGGCAGGGGATGGAGCTGGGGCGCGAGGCAGAGAGCGAGACCCGGAGTCAGAATTGGGGAGCCCAGGGCCAGGCTGAGCATGGGCAGCGGGCTCTTCATGGTGACCTTGGAGTGGTCACTGTGTCTGTGGTCAAAGAGCTCTCCCTGGCTGGGGGTTCCATTCCCAGATCCTTTGGGGTCCTGGGGTGAGGCTGTGGGGGCATCCCAGGACCTGCTATAGCAGACCCGGGTGCCTAATCACACCCGCCCCTGTGCTTGCGACTGTGCAGACTGTCGTGTGCTCCCTTAACTCAAAGCCTGGAGGGAATCTGAAAACGAAGTTTGCTCTACTGCTGGAGGGACAGATTCAAAGAACTTTTATTGTGACTCCATTACGTAGAATTTGAGGAAAGGGAACCATTTCTTCTAGAATTCCATATAGACTACTGCTAGTCAACTTCACAAAACTCATTGTACCCCAATTTTATATCCTTTTTCAGATAGTGTTGCTGCTTCCAATGACTAATTGTAATTCTCAGGTGGTCATATCATGACAACCTATTTCCCGTTTGGTCATTTAAGTCATTTCCCGTTATAAACACAGCTTAGTGAACAATCTGGTATATTCAAAAAATTTTTTTCTACTTTTGAATTATATCCCTAGGACAGATTTCCAGACCCAGGAGTAACTGCCCAAAAGATGTATCTTAAAAAAAAAACAAAAACAAAACAAAACAAAAAAAACTTTGAGATCATTGTAGATAAACATGCAGTAATAAATAATGTAGAGAGGTTTCAAGTCTGTTTCCTTGGTTCCCCCAATAGTAATATTTTGCAAAACTCTACTACAACATCACAACCAGAATACTGACATTTTTACAGTCAAGATACAAGACATTTTCATCACAAGGATCTCTGGTTGGCCTTTTAGATCCACACCTCCCTCAGCTCTGCTCCTCCCACCACTAATCTGTTCATTTCTATAACTTTGTTATTTCAAAAGTGTTCTAGAAATGGAATCATACACTATATGACTTCTTGGGATTGCTTTTATCATTATTCCGTGGAAATCATCAAAGTTGCTTCTCGTATCAATGTTCTCTTTTATTGCTGAATATCCATGATTTGTTTAACCATTCATACTTTGAAGGACCTCTGAGTTATTTCCAAGTTTAAGGCTACTGTGAATAAAGTTACTGTGAACAAACATGTACAGTTTTATGTGTAAACAGATGCTTTAATTTCTCTGGAATGATTGTCCATGCATGCAATTGTGTTGTATGGTTGTATGCTTAGTTTTAAGAGGAACTGACAAACTGTTTTCCCAGTGGCTATATCATTTTGAATATGCACATTTTATGGTTCTTCATCCATGTGGCTAAATTGATTTCAAAAAGTGCTATGCTAAAATGCAATTTCTAGTTATATACATATAGTTATTTATATGTATACACACATATAGATCTATGAATATATATACTACATAAGAATATAAATATAGATACTGTCCCATCCTTTCAAGCATTGGCTCTTAAATTTTAAACTTTTTTGCCAATTTAATAATAATATTTTGTTGATTTCTTTTATAAAAATATTTTCTAGTTGTTGATGGACACAATCTCTTTATTCATTTATGTTTATGTGGCCCTGAGGATCTAACCCAGTGCCTCACCCATGCTAGGGAAGTACCCTACCACTGAGCCACAACCCCAGCCCTATTTTGTTGATTTCTAACCAGACCTTTTTAAACTTCTTGTCTCCATATTGGTTTTGGCTTTTTGTTTGGTGGTTAGTTTTGGGTACCTGGGATTGAACCCATGGGCGTTTAATCACTGAGCCACTCCTACCCCTTATTATTTTCTATTTTGAGACAGGGTCTCCCTAGGTTGCTGAGGCTGGCCTTGAATTTGGGATCTTCCTAACTCAGTTTCTGAAGTCACTGGGATTACAGGCATGTGCCACCACACTCTGCTGCATATTGGTATTTGGATAATCAAACCAAAGCAAACCCAAACCCTTCTTATTCCTTACAGAGCTATACCCAGCAGCCCTTAGCTTCTAATGGCAGCATTAAGTGATTGCTTCAGTTTCATTCCTTGGGCTGTGAAATATACCAGCCTTTCAGCAACTTCTAATTTTTTGTTTGGTTTTCTCACACACAAAAAAATATTCATCATAGAAAAAAATGGTAATTTTTTAAAAAATGAAAATTAAAATAATTATTTCATCAACATATATTTGAAGTTATTTTTCTTTGTGTTTAGATTTTTTAAATTAAGGTATTTTACATACATACTATAATCTGCTTTTTAAAAAAATTTTTTTCAGTTATAGATGTACACATATATTTATTTATTTTTTATGTGGTGCTGAGGATTGAACCCAGTTCCTCAAACGTGTTAAGTGCTGTACCACTGAGCCACATCCCCAGCCCTATAATCTGCTTTTTAAAAAAATAAATAAATAAATAAATAAGGGGCTGGGGATGTGGCTCAAGCGGTAGCGCGCTCGCCTGGCATGCGTGCAGCCCGGGTTCAATCCTCAGCACCATATACAAAGATATTGTGTCCGCTGAAAACTAAAAATAAATATTAAAAATTCTCTCTCTCTCTCTCTCTCTCTCTCTCTCTCTCTCTCTCCCTCCCTCCCTCCCTCCTCTTAAAAAAAAAAAAAGGGGGGGGGGGGGGGGGGGGGGGGTGGGGATGTGGCTCAAGCGGTAGTGGGCTCACCTGGCATGCGAGCGGCCCGGGTTCGATCCTCAGCACCACATACAAACAAAGATGTTGTGTCCGCCGATAACTAAAAAATAAATATTAAAATTATCTCTCACTCTGTCTTTAAAAAAAAAATAGGGAAAGAACACATGTAATTTATAAGCACTGGTGTCTTAGACTTCAGCTGTTTTCTCTTAATAATATACTATAAATATTTTTCTGCTTTATTAAATATTTTTCTAAATTTTTACTTGAATGGCTAAATACTACTTCACATTGTTGTCTTGCATTAAAATTTTTTGAATCAATTTGTTTCTTGCAATATTTGTGGACTTTTCACAGCATTTTTTACCCCTAAAAAAACAAGAGGAGAGACTTCAGTCAGGCCTTCTACCTTTGAGATTTTATGGGTTACTTCCTATCAGTGATAATTATAATTTTCTTTCAAGAACTGTTTCTCCCCTTCCCTCCAATCAAGTTAATATGATTTCAACACCATTCTGCTTTCATTCTTTACTTGTTCCCACACCTCTCTCTTCATTTTCTCCTGAGTTCATTCTTTTTCTTTTTCTTCCTGGCCTGAAAAGAAACCTGAAAACTATTATTAGCTGAACCCCATGTAATGGATGTGATTCTGTCAAAACCCTGTTCCTGTGAATTCTCTATGGGCATTGGAAATGTGAATGAATAAGGAATTGTTTTGAATACGTATCAGTACAATAAAAGGAATGTGTGGCATGAGAACACTACCCAAGTTCAAGCTATTACATGTCCCTATGTGTAATTTACCCTAATTTATTTGCTTCACTTTGCAGGCCATTCATTTGCTGGTTCCTCCTCATTGCCTAACCTCTAAACATTGGAGACCTTTCAGAGTCAGTCCTTGGAATTTTCCTATTTTTTTCCCCCTATACTTACCCTATTGCCATGGTTCAGTTCATCTGCTTCAAAGTGGATACTGTGTACCGATGACTCCTCACTGTAGGTCTCCAGCTGACAGTTCAGTCTCTGAACCCCAAATGACTGCCTGTCCCACACCACCACTTGGATGTCTGCTAGGCATCTCAGACCCGGATCCACATCTAAACTTGTGATCTTTCTCCTCCTTCTACTCCTCCAAAGAGATCCCCATCTCAGTAAATGGCAACTGCATCCCTCTAGTTGTTCAGGTCAAGAATCTTGCAATTTTTCTTGATTCCTTTCCTTCTCTCATGCTCCACACTTACCATGTGAGCTTTTCCAGATTTAGGCAGAATCTTCCCACTTCTTACTGCACCCACCATCATTATTGGTTGCTGTAGTTTTTATAACAGCCTCTTGCTTGGCCTCCTTCCAGATGGGCCTCCATAGTCTAGTCTTAACACAGTACTGTTGACACATTTCACATCAGGTCACACCTCTGCTTAAACTCCCCAATGGATGCCTATTACAGATTATAAACCAGAGATTTAGCTGGGCACAGTGATGCCCGCCTGTGAGTCCAGCTACTTAGGAAGCTGAGGCTGGAGGATCACAATTTCAGAGCCAGTCTCAGTAATTTAGCAAGACTCTGTCTCAAAATAAAAAATAAAAAGGACTAGGGATGTAGCACAGTGGTAAAGCACCCCTGGGTTCAATCCCCAGTAACAAACAAACAAACACCACAGAGGCTTGCTGGGTGTGGTGGTACACACCTATAATCTCAGCTACTTAGGAGGTTCAGGCAGAAGGATCTCAAGTTTGAGGTCAGCTCAGCAATGTAGTGAGTTGCTGTCTAAAAAAAAAAAAGAATTGGGGTGTAGTTCAGTGGTAGAGTGCATACTTAATATGCACAAGTCCTAGTACTACAAAATGAAAAACAACAACAAAGAAAACACAGAGGCTTTAAGATGGTCTTTGAGGCCCTGCATAACCTGACCCTCCACCACCCTCTTTCTGGCGTCCACAAGACCCTGCACAAGATCCTCATTCACTGTTCCAGATGCACTGGGGGCCCCAGCTGTTGATAAAACACATCTGGCATGCTTCTGCTTCAGGGC